TCATGGCCAAAACGAACACAACATCGAGAACTACACTGTGTCTAGAATGGTCCTGTGTGAGATCTATTGTCTTGATTTACACAAATGGCGAAATAGTTCAAAGTGTCAGATCCACTGGTTTGCTAGTAATTCCCGATAGGTTTCACAAAGGAAGATTCAAAGCTAAATGGTACCTATCCTATGCAGGATTGATTTGTTCTACTCTCTCTTTCTCTTTTGAGTCTTTGTTTTCTAAATTTTCATTCATGTGGGGGAATGTTGGAAAATATTGAATGAAAACATTCAGTTTCATCATCCGTTCAGTTTCATCGTCTGAATTTGTTTAAATTTCATCAGTTTCATCTCTTCAATGATGTAACTCCTTATTCAATGCATTAAAGAGCTGGCTCCTCCTCTATGGGTATAAATACGAGTGATCTCTCGGTTGGGAAAACAAGGAAAATCAAAACCCTTCATTCTAGTATCAACCTTTATCTTTCCAGTTTAAACTTTTCATTTTGATTCCTTTGAGAGATAGAGTATATCACAGTCAGTTCGTAGATCGATTATGTAGTGCAGTGTGAACCGACAACCGATTGTATCCTGGGAATCGAACACCGATCAAAACCTCTTGCACTCCGGTGAGGCGGCGAATTCGATTTAAGGAAACTGCGGATACACAGGCCTTCAATTTGATTTGATTCTCCAATATTATTTGATTCTCTAATATTTACCTACATGATTCACAAGCACGTCGACTAGCAGAAGTAAGTCAAGAAACTCTATATTGGTTTTGAGCAACATGAAAAATTATAAAATCTGCATTAAATATTTACAATTGGGTTTTGAAGAGGGAAAAATAAATTAATAAATAAACGCTTGTGATCCTGAAAAATAAAAGGAATGTAAATCTCAAAAATTTTGGTTGGTTACAGTGATATAACTAAATGCTATAACATGAAATCATTTGACTTTCGTATTGGATTCCTAAAATATTGGTTTCACTCTATGGTTACACTCTACAATCAGTTGACTTTTGTTTTCTAATAGGATTAATTAGTTACTCGTATTCAAGAGTGCCTTGTACGCATCGCAAGGACTAAAATAGGAATAAAGTTTTGATCAATTGTGATTGGAATACAATTAGGCTCTTTTATTGTGTGAATATTTGCTTGAAAATGAGTATGTAAAAAAAAGAGTTTAAAAGTATGGTTGTCAAACAAGGACTAGAATTTAAGTTAGGAAAAATTGCAGTTACAGTACCAAACTTTTCATTTTATGTAAACTTGACCCAAACTTTTAATTTATTGCACTCAATGTATCAAACCTTTTAAAAACTCACATTTAAAGTCCGAATTGACAAAAACCATTACTTTCTCTATTAGTTGACAAAAAATCAAAGGTCTGACCAATGTTGAGTAATGTTTAAAGGACAAAAATGTAACTTTATATTTTTTCATATAAAAAACTAAAATTAAAGAATTAAATCAAAATTTAAAAAAAAATCCTATTATCCACCCCGCCACACACCACACCACACCATACCAAAACCATGAAAACGTCGACACCTACAACCAGCGGCCGACACTTTAGCTTTCCCAAATGGGTCTCTACTTTCCCTTTAACTTTACAACTTTTACTCTCTTTTTATCCTTTATCTTCGTGTTTCTCACTAAATGGAAGAAATCCAAAGGTGTTAATGAACTTGAAAACTGCCACCAGGTCTTAAGAAATTGCCTATTATTGGATTCAGAGATTGAGCTCAAATATATGGACCATTAATACACTCGAAGCTTGGTGAAACTTCAACAATTGATGTATCTTTACTTGAGATTGTGAAAGAGGTATTGAAAACTCAATATCTTACTTTTACAGCAAGGCCAAGAACTCTAGCTTTTGAAATTATTTCCTATAACCATACTGCCATTTCATTTAGTTCATTTCAAATATGCGATAGTGATATTATGAGTTTTGTACAACGTTACATATTTGAGTGTAAATTGCTTTCTAAAATTTATATAATAGTTTATATAACAATGATGAAATGGATGGAAGTGGTGGTTGAGATGGGCGAATTGTTGTAACTAGGGTTTGATTTGAGAAAGAAAATGAACGAATTTGCAAAGAAAATGGATACATTTATAGATAATTGCGTGGTGTGGTGTGGTG